TTTCCTGACCACTCCCAGCATCTCCTCAAAGGAGCCGCTGGAGGAGACCTGGTTGGTTGTGCCTCTCAACAGCATCTTCAGGGATCGTCCGTCATAGTAAAGTCATGTCTGACCGCCCCTTCATCCCGATGCCCTCAGTGAAAGACAACTTCCTCGGTGTCTGGGTTCAGCATCCCACGGAACCACCCATGAACAGATATGCAGGTCATGTCCCCAGGCCTTTCCTATTTGTACCAGCGCCGTACTCCGTACTCCATACATCGTACATCCTTGGCTCCGTACCTAGGCTGTAGGCATCCCAGAGAGCCCGGGACCGAGAGACTGCCCATTGCCTGCCATGGTCGGGCCGCCTTGCACCTCATTTCGAAAAGGGCTGAAGAGCGTTTCTGCATGCCATATATCGGACACTGCTGATGTCCGGGGAGGGGGAATACCGCTTGGTTAAGGGCGGCCAGAGTGCCGTCTGGGTGAGGTACGGGTGCGCGCTTCCCATGTCTTCGTATGTCTCACTGTGTCCGCATCCCGGTATCTAAGCATTCGCCCTATCAACCTCGGCCATGTACATGATAGTAGTGGCAGACAAGCAGAGTATCAGTATCCATAGGCCAACTCTGTTGTTCAGGTCGCCTTGGCAAGGGCCCAGCAATGTGGTTGCGCGCCGTCTCCCCGACATCAATGAGGTAAGGGAGAGAAAGATACCAGCTTGCAGGGAAAGAGCCAACCAATTCCCGCCACGGATGAACTCATTTCCTCCTGCCGTCGATCGATGATTCGATCCTATCACAGAGACACAGACCTGTCCCGCCCAGTTCAACTTCGCCGGGGCCTTCCCTAACATTCTTTCGTGAGATATCTCCGTCTGCCACCATCGCACCATCGCCGCCTCTCAGGCAGTTACGCCAACTTCATCATGTTCCTGTCTTGTACGCTCTCTACTGGACGAGTGTCCTCACTGCATACATAATCACTTTCTTTCTCATTCTACCCATCATGAAGCTTGATCTCCCATAAACCTCTTATGTATGACTCGGAGTAGCCAAGGAAATCAGCCGCAAGCGTGTTATCGTCTACTCCTCTCGTCGGCAGTCCTCCTAGATTCACACCGCAACTCAACGGCCGCTGTATCAATTGCATCGGGCAGCCAGGATTCCAAACCACTCGGGGGCCTACTCTTTCAAGCATCAATTTTCATGCAAGCCTCGCCAGCCCGGAAAAAGTATCAAAAGGACCCCCAAGACGGCAGCTGTCTAGGCCAGCCACGGGTGACTTACATCCCTGCATCTCTCATGTCTCACAAATTATCACACGTCATTCCCAGGCATTTTTCAGCCCTCCAGCAGTTCCAACGAGGCAAGCGAGGGAACGTCTGTGCCTTCTCTCGCGTAATACGAGAAGCCTTCCGGACCGATCGTTGCCAAGTTTACCGAATTGGTGGGAAGGGCGCCATTAAAGTTAAGACAAGCAGTGAGTCTCTGCCCGTTTTCCCTCATGCCCTCCGCAAAACACACCTGAACCCGCAAGACACTGAGGCTTTGGACGTATTGCCCGCCACCTACTTCGCTCAGAGACTCATTCATTTCATGTAACACATGTCGCAACCGTTATTCACATGCTGTCTCAATACTTTTTTAGAGGTCGATAATGCTCGCAATGATCAGATCGAGATCACATGCTAGCCACAACGAAACAGAACAGTCAGTCAGTCAGTTCACGATAATAATGCCCGGTTGAGCTTTACGAGATACGTCTCTGGAACCGTCTCTGATCCCTTCTTCAGCCGCGTCCAGCGATATCCAATTCCATTCAGTGAGCCGGCTGCGTACCCAGTGGTAATCTCGGTAATGCATACCTCACCATTCCAAAGGGTCTCGACCGAGAAGCGAGAGACAACAGGTGGAGGGAGAGGTTTGCCTTACGAAACAAACACGCATGCAGAGTGGTCCAGACTCCCTTATATGGAGAAGTTCTGCTCACCAAGTCCATTTGGCACGGCATTCAATGCACCTTCATACCGGATAAAGCGGCTAAAGGACGTCCATCTAGCCTCATGGCATCTTGGTCAACACGGGTTAGCCTTCCGGCTCGACATGCGTCCCCACTCCGGATCTCGGGGCCGGACAGCTTCCGAGTTTTGAAACGATGGCATTCTGTCTTTTTCCCCATATCGACGAGTCATCAGAGCTCCCCAAGAAACGCAGTCGAGCTCTTTCCCGAGAGAAGGAATGCCGTTCTCGGGATGTGGAGTCGTTCCAAGGAGGCGGGATACGCTTAGCCCTGCATTCTCTCTTAGTGTCTATATTGTCACTATCCAGATTGTAGACCTACGGAAAATCCCGTTCATCGAGCTTTGGATCGAAGGGAGCCTTTTCGATTCATGGAATTTACAATTGCTACTCACAAGTAAGAAATGGGCAGCAAAGCCTCACCAGCCGTCTACGCATCCGGAGTCACACCCTGATAAGCTTCATCCATGACATGTTGAAATGCACAAGCGAGACTTGGTTTACTCGCCTACGGCCGGATGCTCGTCTAATTTGCCTTTAAGCGCTGTGGTCTTGATCCAGAATTGCGGGTGAGCATGTGGACAGGTGCACATTTAGTATCCAAAGTAGTCACAAAGGCATCTCATATACAAAAAAGCACACGGGAAGTGTTTTAATCGAGAGCTCTTTCGTCGATTACCTACCCCACATCATCCTCGTCTCGAGGGAAATCAACTTTCCCATCATCATCATCATCAACAACAACATTCTTTGTACGACGATGATCCACCCACCAAAATGCCCTCATAGTTCACGCCCAATGGCGACTAGGAATTTAAAAGAAAGACCGGGCAATGGATACCCCAGTACTTTTAACAAGCGACAGTTGATGCTGATTGGCGGAAGTACCAACCCGAGCCCTGCGATTACATTGCAATGTTGTGGAATAAGAAACAATCATAGTTCGCAACCAGCAACCTACCAGAACCGAACTGACCAGTGAAATCACCGTCGGCGTTTAAGCCGCCTCACAAAGTTTACTAGCGTACCGTAGATTTTACAAAGTACTTAGTGCTCGCCTTGATAAAGGTTCTACTTCTAGTTTAGGGAGAGAGGGGATGGGGAGGAGACGCCCATTTGGGAATGTGCTTTGAAATGCTGTGATTTTGCTTGGGTCTAGCTTTCTTTCCAACAATCAATGAATGACGCTACTACCCGTTCGCGGCTTTGCCATCGTTTGACAGCCAGCCCTTGACAGCCATACTTTCTGGTTTACTGCCGTATATTTTTTCGGATTCTTATTCGCGTTCTTGATTGACTTCAAGTGGCTTGGATCTGGGGGGGCGGTTGACCTTTTCTCGGATAGAAGCCATCCCGATTTCGCGAATAGACTCGAAACCCCTCAAGTTGGAATCCCTGGACAACCCAACCGTCTGTCTGCTGCTCAGAACAAGATTCCAAGTCATACCGGCCAAGCATTTCAGGATGAACACCCTGCCACGTCCTTCTCACTTCTCAACAGCACATAGGGATTCCCACCGACCACTAAGCCGGTCATCGCTCCCCCTTACGGCCGGAAGGCCAATCATTGGTGTGTATTTCCGAGACTCTTTGGTGTTTCCAGAACCTTTTTTCGTCCAAAACGCTGTCTTTCATGAAGCCTTGAAGCATGGGGGTGAGGTAATCGAAGACGAGAAACCTGCGCAAGGTCTGTGGAGAGCTTTGATGCTGTACACATCATCCGGGGAAGGTTCTGCCGGAAGGTTCTGCCGACAGGTAGGACTTTCCAACCTCCCGCACACATTATCTGAAGACGTAGAGTAAGTTTGCCTTGCTCCATGAGATTCGGAATAATCATCTTCCACACTGGTCTACATCTCGGCGGTGCCAAGGTGGAGTGGCTCTATCCCTTGAGGGGTGCAGTACCCAGATGTTTCGAGAAAATTCGCAATGTAGAGCTCCCAACGAATACACGTCTCGCACACCAGCAAAAGGAAAGATGGAACTCGAGCTTCGCTATTGCATCAATGTCCCAAGATGTCTCTTGCTCTATGTCAAGTGGTTTCCGAGGCGGTCTTGTCGAAAACATTTCGTAACCTGGGCCCATCTTGCTATGGCGATAACGAACGACGAAACTAACAGGTTCTGGAAGCGGTGCATTTCCTACCTGACAAGGTCTGCTACTGCTCCAGGTCCCATTCGACTGTGGATATAAAAGCAAGTATCGATGCCGGATCAATGCCTGATCTGCTGGGCACGCTGATCTGGAGAGCACCGAAAGTAAGTTCGAAGTCGTCTTTGGTGTCGGATCAAATAAGATGACGGGATTGCTTCTTCCTGTTGTTGGAGGCTAGGCGACCTTGACCTACTGCAAACTCTATTGACTGAATGAATACTGTCAGCAACAGTAGTAGTAGATAGTACGTACTTGTCCTCGTTTCCTGTGTATTCGGGCCCTTATAAAAGAGAAACATAGATAATAGATCATGGACAGAGCTATTGCCTTGCCCTGTGAGAAGCTTGCATTGGAATCATGGATTCTCGTCGCCTTTGTATATAAACAAGAACATACGCGCATGAATTTCTCTAATATGAAGAGATTGCAAAGATATTTGCATCCGCATACTCAAAAAGGGAGAGCCATCGCTGCCGCCGAGCAACTATCTACCTTCAGATTAAAGATCTATTTACAGTGGTCACCTCAATGGTTTCTCCACGCAGTCGAGAAACCAGTTGATGTCATGTGCCTTATCCTGAACCCAACTGACCAAACAACTTCCTCTCATGGAATCCCTGTTTATTACAAACTGGGGGCAACAGACACCATACCACCGCTCCTTCTCCACGTCAGAGGACTGAGATTAATCACGACCACAAGAAAGGAAGCGAGTATACCTCTATTATAGGAGCTTCAGCTTTCAACCGCTATGGTTGTCTACCTGCTAGCTTTCTTGACTACTAACGTCAAATCCAGAAACCCAGCTAGTGCCATTGCAAAGAGACTGGGCCTCTCTTTCATATTGGGATCACAGCTTGTGAGATCATGATGGAACATTTCACCATGAGAACTGCCTCATCTTTCATTCATACACGGACACGTACAATACAAAGAATCTCTTGCTTCGCTTGCCTTACAAATCTAAAAGACTAATCTCAAGCTCATTCAGGGCGTCCCTCACAAAGCCCGCAAACTCGGCCACGATCCATCCCCTGAAACGCTTATATTCCGCCGCCCTCGCCGCGACGTCTCCAAACGCATCGTTGCCGCCCGTAAGGTCGTTGAAATCCTTGAAGGCATACAGAAATCCATGCCACAAGTCCCTCGGCTCGGCTCCGGTCATCACATTAGCCGCGGCCTTGACTCGCAGGAACAAGCTCTCCGGAGATGACTCATTGTAACCATTCCCCCCCAGTCCGCCGTAATACCCATTTGCCGCCGCCGCCGTCGTCGTCATGTCGACGGTTCCCGTACCGTGCATGATGATGCTGCTCGCCTCGTGATTCACGAAGACCCAGCACACATACGAGAGCACCTCTGCGTGCGAGATGCCGAGATACTCCCTGGCATGACGGGCCCACCCAAGCCCGTCAGCACCTTCTTCTTCTCCTTCTTCCTCTCGTTCGACATTCCCGGCCCTTTCATCTTCTTGCTGCGAAGCGAGTCTGTACCATAACGTCCCGTACACTTCAAGGTGCTCCTTCCATATCAAATCATCCTGGCTATCGGCGCAGCAAAGAACTGGCCGCTTGGTCTTGGCAAAATCGTTGCAGACTTTTTCAAGCATCTGGTAGCACCACTGCACGCACTTCCTCAGTGTATCGAGGGCCGCAGACGTCGTCGCCCCATTCTTGTCTCGCGAGAGGACCCAGCCTTCCAGGCAATCCAGGAGGATTCGTAGCTTGCCTTCTTGCGACTTGTCTAGATGCGCTGAATAGCGTTCATAGATGACGTCTAGCAATTGGAAAGCAAAAAGATCAACAGTGCCATCTTCCTTAAGCAGGAAGCCTTTCCCAGAGCTATCGAGGATTGCAGAAACGGCGTAGGCGAGGTTTCTCGCCATAGGACCTTCCAATTGGTATCTGTCGTTCCTATATCTCTCATCGTTCATGCTTTCCAAGACATGGACATACATCAGGATATGTTGATCACCTGACCGAAGCTTGTGTGGCTCCAGGGCACCCAACGATTCCTGAAATTGTTCTTCCGTCTCGGCTGATCGACATAGAGCAACAAGACGGTTTGCGTGCCCAACGGTGTTGAGTGAGCCGTCCTTATATGCGGTCCAAGCGAACCCATCGCTACCGCCACCGGCAGCGAAGATTGCAGTCGCTGCTCGGATGTTTTGGTTGACTTGATCGTACGCGTAGGAGCCCGCCTCGAAACAGGATGTGGGCCACAAGGCGTTGGTAGCCTCGTTGACGTGACCGCCATCTGGGCCGAATTCTTCATCGTTGTGGTCGGAGTCCTCGTTACCTTGTTCGCCTTGCGGAAACATGGTCAGCAATCCACGTCGTCTCGAGGAGGCAAGCCATCACAACCTTTGTAATCCTTGAGGTTGTACTTTCCGCATCCCCAAAGTCCTAGCCTGTAGACAAGTTGGCGTTTCCTAACTATAGTCAGCACCGAAATCAGGATTTTCAGAGAAAACATACGTAACGTTCAGGCCATATGCATCTTTAATAAACTTAATCAGTTCCTCAAGAGTCTTCGTCTTATATTCTTCACAGATGTTCGACCTCATTTTCTCCCAGGTTTCCGCTGGGATTCGAGCCGCTCGGGGTCTCGTTTCTTTTTCTCCCTTCGCCATACCCATACCGAGTTCGTTGATTGTATAACTCTGTGCTGGCGACGCCCAAAAGGTGTTCCCCAGAATTTCGAAGGCGGGCATATGTTCTGATGCCATTTTGTACAATTTCTTAAGTCTTCAACAACCGAACGAGATCTTCCCGCAAGAAACGAACTGCCTTGGAGTCCTCCTCATAACCCAAGAAAGCCCAACAAGCTCCGCCCCTCGTCGCCTTCTTGAGGCTGAATTTCATAAGAAGGCTCCCAGTCCGCGGACCAAGTACGTAGCCTTGGGATTGAATTGTAATTTCGTAGCACCTTACTCTGTATGCGAAGTCCTTATACAGCATCCAATCACCGCTTGGCCAGGGGTTGAAAAGTGCAAGTTTCCCTGCACCGCCATTGGGTCAGCAACTAAGCTGGCATTGTCATTTTGGGAGTTAAAGTTCCACTTGGGTTTCAACAACACCATGCCATCAAAATACCAAAACCCCGAGGGTCATGCATGCCGCTACATTCAGCCAAGAAAAGTGCAATTCCCATTGACAAAGTCTGGCCACCTGGAGAATGGTATGTTAGACCGGCCTACTCAGCCAAGTTCCAACATTAATACGTTTTTCATATAAAAGTAAGTCGCCAGGCTCGGGAAACCTCAGAGCGGGTCCTCGCCCCAGAAGCCAAATCAGACAACAAACGAGCCTTCTCAACTTGAAGTCTTTTGACTGCGCCTTTCTCTGTGTTACCAACTCAGCCACGGTATCAATAGCACTTGCTGTACGCTGGTCCTCGTCAATCCAAAAGGTGGTCTCCAGAGAGAAGATGCCTCGAAGAGAGATATCTTACTCCGAGCCCTCGGTGCCCGCAGCCGCAAACATGGGTCGAACATCGGCACACGGGCGTCGGAGACCGACCCCACTCCGAGAGCATCGAGGCCAACACTCGGCGGCAACTTCATTTCATGCGGACTCAATGCATCCTCAATCACAACCGATACAGCGGCAAAGAGCTGTCGAAAGCCTCAAAGAGAAGCCGGTCTTGTGTACATACAAGACAAAAAGAGAAGATGGTAGCAGCGACATCCTGCCAGGCCAAAGGGCGGAGATAAGCCTGACTAAATTAGAGAAGGCTGGCGACGAATACTTCAGAATCAGGAACAGAGTCCGAAACCCGATACGCGGTGAGCCGTTTCCATGTGGTTTCTTGCAATAACGGACGATGGCAGAGATGTTGGGTTGATCAGTTATACAACATGACTGGTGTGAAGAAAAAGTCGTTGTCGAATTGTAGGATGCCGTATAGATAGATACCTGGGTAGCATGCTATTCCAATGAAGTCGTTTGCTTTGTCGCCACGTCTCAGGAATTCTTCAAAAAAGGCCGATCCATCGAGGTGAATTGTGCTCACTTGGGAGACCTGTACATGGTGCCTTGCTTCGTGGCAGCCAGTCGGTAATGGCCGTGCTGCAGCTCTCGGACGGGTTGATTCGCGGATGCTATCATTAGGCGTGAGGGGGCAGGACACGAGAAGGGCCAGGTGATGCACGTTGGAGTGTGCCCCGCAATTTAGCCCACAGGCCGGAGGGAAAGGTGCGGTGACGTGGGGAGGTACCGGCCGGGTAGAGATACCTCCCTGCTCACGTCGGTGCAGATGTCGGACGGGGGTGGGCCCTCTGGCGACTGGAGCTCGACGCCTGCGGCGTATGGTTCCGGAACTTTGCATTGAGGCCATTGCCAAGAATAGAGCGAGTGGCATGAGACGTGCAGTCGGCCGATGACTGTTTATTCTCTCGCGAGACAAGAGTAGCCGGGAAATCGCTAGTAGCAAAGAAATTGTACGTCGAAATCAGGTGAGAAAGCGTTTTTGCCGATCAGTTTGCGCATAATAAAGCCTGTCCCGGCATAGCAGGGAGCGGTCTGTGGCCGGCGGGTTTAGTTGGGTTTGGTGGTTTGCAAGGTGGTGTGCTGAGCTACCCGCCCACCATAGCTTCCGCCCCCTCGAACGGCGTACCGTTCCATTGGAGAATTGGATATTGTGCGGGTGGGTGTGCAGTCAGTCGCAACTTTCTAGATGCGATGGAAGGGATGGGCGAACACTGCATATGTATGAGGTCGGATTGAGAGTTATTTGGAGAGAAGGAGGAAACGGCGCTCTAGGTGCGCAGGGAAATTCTTCCATCTGCTCCATCCGTCAGCAGCAAATCAGGCCAGGAAGGGAAGCTATGAGGTGATGATGATGATGAAGGTCCATGGATGGAAAAGCAGGGGGCTCGTCTCTTGATGGGCCCCAACGACTTGGGTCCGTGTAAAAGAGTCGGCATGGGGCACCTTGTGGCTCGTAAAGCCTGTCTGTGGGAATGACAGATGGGGCGTATATTGTAGAATGCCAACTTGTATTAAGAAATGAGATGTTGATCTGTGGTTTAGTCAAAGTGGGAGACTGTGGGTGGTAAGCCTCAGCGCGGTCTACCTAGTAGTGAGCTTGGTACCTTATCATGAGGCCCAGTCGAGCAAGTGTAATGTGTCTCGGCCTCGGTGACGGTTGACGGGCTCCAGCTCCGACCTCGACTAGTGTACCAACCATACGTGGAGGTGTTGGGAGATGGGTTGCGCAACAGGTTGCAAGGAGGCAAATGCGGAAGGAAATGTCTGACGGATCATGGAGAAGTTGTGAAGCGGGAAAGAGTGGCTCCTTGGCATTTGGGATCGTTGTGGGGCAACCGGGTAGGAAGTCCCAGGAGGTTAGGAGCTCTTGCCTCTACTGCGTAAGAACTGAAGTCGACGAGCTTCAGCGAGAAGTCGCGGCAAGTCGTCATACCTGTGCAAGGATGACCCAATCACGGATCGCCCCACCCCGCCCACACTGCCAGCCATTGGATCGGACTGAAGTCTAGAGGTGCAGCTGCAAGGTGCCAAGGTACCTCCACACTGCGGCGAGTGCGTGTGTGCGGGTGCTCCAGCTTCACCTCATCTCTTCCATTACTCCAAACGCCTCCTTTTTTGCCTGTTCTCCCTTCCCATGAACTACTGTCCAAGACAAGCGACAAATCCCTCCAGTTTCAAGCTGATGCTAGGAAGGGAGTCTTGGCTTCCTGACACAATGTGTAACTTGTAGTGTTCACCATCTTGGATTGAATCAACCGACCGTTCCCGCTAGCCTCAAGAGTGGCACATTTTTCACAACAGCTTACTGCTGTGCCACCCCATCAAGGTAGGTACAAGAGCAGAAGATGGTGGATGGTCTCAAACCTTCACCAAGCTCGGAGTACTAACCAAATGAGCCTTCTCTCAACCATGGTCATGCTCGCCCAGGGCGGCATCGTCGGCTCTGACGACAGCGTCGCTACAAACGTCGTCTCCAACCCTGGACCCAAGGTGTGGCTGATGCGGTCCGGATACAGCAGGGAAGAGCATCGGCCAGACAGGGTTGACAGGTCCAGATCAGCCCGTCTGACTATCCATGCATTGGCTGGCATGGCTGCCGCTCGCAGGCTCCCTGTGTCATGTTGTTGAACCGCAAAACCGCAGGGGCGATCCCGATCCAAAGCGCTCCAGCCTGAGGCCATTTATTGTTCTTACCCAATGCTTCTTGAGCTCGTCTACTAAGTGCGATACCCCAAGGTAGTGGGACAGCACGGCTACCTGGTACATCATCATCATGTCTCCAAAAAGGATCACTGACCGAAGAGGTCACCCATTGACTTGCGTGCTGCACGAGACAGCCAATCGGTAGTAGCATCTTCTAGGCGCCAGCCCGTAGCCTACTTGATCAAGCGAGGCGTCCAAACAAGTCCAAACAAGCACGCCCAAGCCATCCCATCTCATTTGTCCAATGGTCCATGTATCCCGCCCCAGCCTGGAATCTGTACGGAGTAGTTACCTAAGGTACCTTAGGTATTGAGGTCCCGCAGTCCAGTCCGGAACAGTACCTCCTTCCCATCCTCCTGCCTCTTGCCTCCATGGCGGCATAGCCAACACTGGAGGACGAAGACCGCTACAGCAAGGAAGGAACCTCTCTTCAGGTCTGCATCCGCCTTAGTCGTTACACGCTAATGTGCTTGTGGCGAGCTGCTTTCCCCGCAGATTTAACGTCCCGTCCACGTACCAACCCCATGCTTCCTGCTTCCTGCTTCCCTCGCTTATAAGCCACCGCCGCCCTCCTCAGCTCGTGCGTTTTTGCTACTTCCAAGCTTCTGCTGCCATCAACAACTTTTTGTGCAACACCAGAAGTCTTGCCAATACCGCAGATTGCGTCCGCCGCCACTGAGGATCCAACCCTGCAAAATCATCATCCTTCAAGATGCCTACCGCAACAGAGCGCGTCCACGCCCGTAAGCTACTATCCGTCCTCGGTGTATGCAACTGTTCGTTTGTGACTGACATCTCCTCTAGTGAACCCCTTCTCCAAGAAGGAGTCTCATACTGCCGCCTCCATCACCACCTACAAGGTCTTGACTATCCTGAGTTGGCTCTTGGCTTTCGTTGTCACCCTCTACTACACGTTCAATGAGCCACACGATGGCTTCACGATTCGGAGAAGAATTTGGGACCAGAACTACCTCTACCGCACTGCCTTCACTCTGAACTCCACAATCATCGACATCTACTGGTAAATTGCTGAACCGTCCTTTCAGGGGTATGACACTTCTAACATCGTCCAGGGTCGTTCTTTTCATCTTTCAAATTGGCTATGTCGGACACCTCTTCTCGAGCAACAGCGACTATGTCAACGCCGCCGCCAGCGTCGGATCGCACTTCATCTTCAACAACCTCCTGCACTTTGCTTTCGTCATGTTGTTCGTGCGCTCCCACTTCGGCTGGGCTGAGTTCATCCTGATTGTCAACTTCGCCAACCTGTCGTCGCTCTACTTCCGCCACAACACATACCCTCGCTTCATCCACTGGCCTGTCGTTTCCGCTCCTCTGGCCTGGACGTTCGTGGCTATCTACTGGAACGGCGCCATCATGGTTCCCCACCCCCACAACCTGGTTGCCCGCATCTTTGGCAACATCTTCGTCTGGTCCATTCTGGTTTACGGAGGTTTCTTCATCGTTACCTACAAGGTAAGAGTGAAATGATGTCTCATGTGTTGCGAACTTCACTGACTGACGATGTGTCAGGATTACACCATGGGCTTTTCTCTTAGCGTCCTGTCTGCCGCCCTTGGTGTTGCGCAGTTCGGTCGCCAAGTCATTGCCTTCCAGTGGATCTTCGCTTTCACCATCATGGCTGTGCTGTTCGTCTCGACTCTCGTCATTGCCTACCCGGCTGCGACAGGCAAAGACTACCCCTGGAGAAGCCGCACTGCCGACTCGGAGCGCGCTCCCCTTCTTGCTGATGACCAGTAAATTTCATTATGTTCGCATTGAAGGCTCGATACTAAAGTTTGCGCAATGGCGTATGCTCGCGACAGAAGCACTCCTCACTGCACGAGAGGAGAAGGTCGAGCTGAAGTGTGACTAGAAGCCGCCCCATGACAGAGTTAGGGGGGTCAAAAAGTTGTTTGCGTTCCGAGATTGCTGCGACAACTGCTTTTATTTTCGGTATGGAATGTATATGGCATTTTTATGGCCATGCATGCGAAGGAGAGCACAATAATTCCCCATGTCGTTATTCGGTTTAGGAAGGAGAGGACGGCGAGGAATGACGTAGCTACGGTCTTATCGTTATCGTTATCGCTCTTGAGCTTTATTTATCGGCGTGGACCAAGCTACCTTAAGGTAGTAGCGAGGTACCTGGCTCAGAGCTGAAGGTGGAACGGATCAAGGTACCTCGGACCCCCTGGCAGTGAATCTATCAACTGCCATTATTGCACCTTTGAGTTTATGGATGCCAATTGAAGATCTCCACCCTTTTTTGATACCCAAACTTGTTCCTCATGCTGCCGCCCAAGAGGTTTCCTTTTCCTCTGCAACTAGGGACTGACTTGTGTCAAATCTCCCGCATCTACCGGATTCTGGCCAGCGACAAGGAATCCAGATTTCTCCGTCGCATCCTCACCAAGGATGAGCGCCTCGCGATCCCTGCCGACCTGAAGTCGGCTGATGCGTCAGCGACGCCGTCCGAGTATTCCAAAGACGACGACTTCCAGACATTGAAGAAGCGCAATCCGCTGTTATGGAAGAATGCTAGCTTCCTAGCTGGAAGGTAAGCTTTACATCTAAAATCATTTCTCCCACCTCGGTCAATTGAGAGGGTGCAGAAGCTCACTGTTTGCAGATTCGCAGCCAAGGAAGCGACATTCAAAGCCCACCCCACGAGAAACCTAACATGGCACGACATCACCATTGTCCGGAAGCGATTCGAGCAGCTGAAGAATATCGGAGAGCTGAATGAGGCCAAGGAGCCGAAAAAACTCGAGGCCAAGGAGACGGAACCCCCATCCGCCAACGGAAGCGGCCCGCCCGTCGCCATCGTGCGCAGCATACACGAAGGGACACCCGGGCAGGAGGTGTTGTTATCCATCAGCCACGACGGCGACTACGCCACGGCCGTGTGTTTGGCGTTTGAGGCCCAGAGCGACGGGTAGCCGAGCCGTAAACAGCCCAAGGACGGCAAGGAGGGCAAGAAGCGCCGCGTTTCCCGCGGCACTGAGGCTAAGATGGAGAATAAGAGCGCGAGGCGGCAGAGGCGGCTATGGAGGCGAAGATGAACTACAGGGAGTTCGAGGAGTATAAGGCGTGGCGGGCGTGGACGGTCAAGGCTGAGAAGCAAGGGAAGATGAATCGTAAGAAGGAGGAGGAGGAGGAGGAGGAGGAGCATGAGGTTGTGAGAAAGGCCGAGGAAAAGGCTGCTGAGAAGGATGATGGCGTTAAGCAGACTGAGGGCGTCACGGTTCGAGGGGGCAATGAGGTGAACCCCTGGGCAGAGAGATGCGAAAAGTGTATTTGTAGAAGGGCATGTCATGGGATTATACGTAGTTGTAAGCAGTTTTGTATCATAGGCTCTCAATTATGGCATTGGAAATGTCAAGACTCAAGGGAGGCGCTTGCCACTTTTGCTCTCGTTTCGCTCGATCGACGAGTCCACTTTGTTCTCCCGGTCATCTACTTCAGTTCTCTTTCTTCGTTTTAGACGCATCCACATAGATACACATGCAATCAAGGTAATGACGTCCTCCTCAGGATTATGGGATGTGGTTGTTATTCCAGAGATGATATACGAATATGTGCCGGCTTGTCCATGTGCCTACCCGCGCAATTCCTCTCACACACACACCATGTTAAACAGTCCCCCAACCACCTTAGCTACTCGCTACCGTTGCCTGTCTATGTTCTACCTTTTAATTTCTTTCTCCCTCGTCCGCACAGAGAGCTTTAGAAACGGATTTTATTTTTCTTTTCTATAACCACACATGACCTTCCACGCCTTTTACAACGACAGCAAAAAAAAAAAAAAGGCAAGCATTCCCACTAGCAACAAACGTGGATTCCAAAGAAGCTCCACCGAAACCAACCCAACACAGCGGACCCCACACCCAACCCGCGCGCAGCGGACTCAAAGGAGGGGACAAACACTCCACTGAACACACGCAAGCCACGCCACTAAGCGACACGAAACATAGGTCCCGATTTCCGCCCCTCGCTTCAACAGAATAAGATCCTGGCAGGCCGGCTGGCCTAATGGCTAAGGCGTCGGATTCCTATGAGGAATACAAACTCATCCGAAGATTCTGGGTTCGAGTCCCAGGTTGGTCGTCGGTAGTCTGAACACAGATTACGAGTAATCAAACCTTTTGCATTTTCCTTGTTCTTTTT